TGTATTCCTTCCATCCTCCTTTGATGTTTCCTGCATCATTCAATATTTTGCCCATAGAATCCTTCAATATTGCAACTCGAGGCTTGATTTTTTTTTTTCAGTTCTTTCAGCTCAACAAATGTCAATCGTGTTCTTCCCATAATCAAAGACAACAATTCTTCTTCCGCTTTCGTTATTCATTGTCCAGCTTTCCCATGCATATGAGGTGACTGAAAATACCATGGCTTGGGTCAGGAGGACATTAGTCCTCCAAGTGACATCTTTCCTTTTTCACACTTTAAAAAGGTCTTTTGCAGCAGATTTGCCCAATGCAATACACTGTTTGATTTCTTGACTGTTGCTTCCATGGGTGTTGATTGTAGATCCAAGTAAAATGAAATCCTTGACAACTTCAATCTTTTTTCCGTTTATCATGATGTTGTTTATTGGTCCATTTGTGAGGATTTTTGTTTTCTTTATGTTGAAGTGTAACTTGGGACCCCCTGAAATTGGATACAATTCTGTGTTTGTATGATTAACAAATGTGCATTTTTCCAGAGAGTAGGTCTGTATCTTTCATCACTTTTTCTGAGACTCAAAAAGAAAGGGATTGGAGCTCTAGAATCTACTGCACTATCAAATATGGTAGCACTAGCCACATTTTAAGTGGGTAGTGGCTACTCTATCAGACAGCACAAAGAACATTTCCATCATCAGAGAAAGTTCCATTGGACAGTAGTGTCTTAGAGAAATGCTGTTTTCTCTGGAGAATTTCTGCAAGAAGGCCTGGGTATCAGACTCGAGCATTCAAATTTCTTCCTGGTTCTTACGGAATACTATAGATTCTTAGAAGTTCAGTATCAGAACATGCTGACTACCACCACATGCCAGTGAGCAGAGAATGGTTTTGTGTGTGTGCGTTGTTTTTTGTTTTTTTGCTATTTGGCATTCTACTATCATGAATTCCTGTCAAGGAAAAGATGGTAGATGATATGAATTGTAGGAGGTTATGATGTATTTGAGTCCCTGGGTGGTGCAAACAGTTAACACACTCGGCTACTAACCGAAAGGTTGGAGGTTGAAGTCCACCCAGGGGCTCCTCAGAAGAAAAGCCTGGTGCTCTACTTCTAAAAAATCAGCCATTGAAAACTCTATGGAGCACAGTACTACTCTGACACACAAGGGGTCACCATGAGTCAGAACTGACTTGACAGCAAGTGTTTTTTAATGGTGTACTTGAGTGACCTCATTATATTTGGGAAGGCTTTAAAAAGCATAAAGAGAACATTAGAAAGGGCTAAGTTAAAGCTACCAGTATTCATCAGGTGATTGCCAAGGATGCAGTATCTCTCTTTTTCCCTTTCCTTTGAAGTTAGTAGAATCCCACATGAAGTCTACAAGGGCTGGGGATTACATAGGTGGCACAGGGAATTTTGGCAGTTACTTGATCTTTATTAATGTTAAATTTCAATTCACTAATTTTGGAAAAAGTTTAGTATTCCTCATATCAGCAAATATTTTTGGAAGGCATTATTTTTAAAAAAGTTGTAATGTTCCAATATTCCAGTACTCTATTGTCAGATATTTAGATTGTTTCCAGTTTCCCCCTACTATATGTAACACTGCTATATATCTAAATACATTTTGACTATTCTCGGGAGTACAGAGAGAAGAAATAGATCCAATAGTCACAATTCACGATAAGGTAGGGAGGTGCCACTGCCTGATGAGTAAGCCTGGCCTTGGGACTCAGACAGATCTGGTGTAGGGTCCGGACTTTGTCATTTATAAGCCATGTAAGCATGGGTAAGTTGTTTAGTTTCGCTAAGGCTCTATTCTGTCATCTGGAATATAGGGGAGTTACCTCCTAAAGCCATGGCACAAATGGAATAAGATAACCCAGATAAGTGTCACATGCAGTATCCGGCATGTAGCAACCTATGAATAAGCAGTAGCTATAATTATCTTCTTTCATAATCCTAATGCGTCATGATCCCTTGCTGGGTATGTCTTCTCTTTTGAACAGTGGTTTTTTAATAAATGTGAGTACCTGTTTCTTAGTGGCTGCTTCCAGCCTAGCCTTTCCAAAAATTCTTTCTAACTGACTTATGAATTACAAACTAAAGAGGCTAAAATCTATGGTGTCACAGGTAAGGAAGGAGGTAGGGTAGCTAATTTGTGCTACGGACTGCGGTAGGTATTTTGTACAGATGATCTTATTTAACATTAAGATCATCATCTTGTTCATCATAGTGTTACATATAATAGAGAAAAACTGGAAACAGTCTAAATGTCTGATAATAGAACATGTAATATTGGAATATTGTGAACTCTTTAAAAATAATGTCTTCCAAAAATATTTGTTGACATGGGGAATGCTTATGATATAGTGTGATGTGAAAAAAATCAGGGCACATCACACTCGATGTCCCAGCATCTTCTAGAGACACTTGTCTGCCAGGATACATGGCAAGAATGTTCAGTAATAGCCCCAAACTGTAAACAACTCAAATGACCATTTACCAGATAATAGATTGTGGTATATTCACATGTGAAATATTACATAGCCTTAAAAATGAATAAACTATAGCTATATATGACAATGGAAACCCTGGTGGCACAGTGGTTAAGAGCTACAGCTGCTAACCAAAAGGTCAGCAGTTCGAGTCCACCAGGGGCTCCTTGGAAA